TATCAGTAGGGTAGCCACCTTCCAGGTGAAGAAGAGAAGAAGAAGAAGAGATTGGATTTATACCCCGCCCTTCACTACCCAAAGGGGTCTCAGAGTGGCTTACAAACTCCTTTCCCTTCCCCTCACCACAACAGACACCCTGTGAGGCGGGTGGGGCTGAGAGAGCTCTTGACAGAAACTGCTCTTTTTCAAGAACAGCCCTTATCAGAACTATGGCTTGCCCAGGGTCATCCAGCCAGGTGCAAGTGGAGGAGTGGGGAATCAAACCTGGTTCTCCCAGATTAGAGTCCACGCACTTAACCACTACACCAAACTGGCTCTGGAGGTCTCCCAGAATGTCAACGGATCTCAGACTACTGTGATTGGTTCGTTTGAAGAAAACAGCTGTGCTGGGAGGTGGACTGTATGACATCATACCCTGCTGAGGGTCTTCCCCTCCCCAGGCTGCTGTGTTGGTTGGCAGTAGGGCAGCTAGATTCAAGTCCAGTCAAGTCCTGAGAGACCGATGAGCTCCTTCCATCAGAAACCCCAGGGTTGGCACCCCTATCAGACGGGCCAGATTCTGAGAGCCAGTGTGGTGTAGTGGCTAAGTGCACAGACTCTAGTCTGGGAGAACCTGTCCTTGATGGATTCAGGAAAAGGCAGGTTCTTGAGGGGGGTGATGTCCACGGCTCAGTGGTACAGCATCTGCTTGGCATGCAGAAGGTCCCGGGTTCAATCCCCAGCACCTCCAGTGAAAAGAAACAAGCAGTAGGTGATGTGGAAGACCTTGACCTGAGAGTTTGGAGAGCCACTGCCAGTCTGAGTAGACAATACTGACCTTGGTGGATCAATGGTATGAATCAGTATAAGACGGCTCATGTGCATTCATGTATGTTCTTTGGAGGCCCTGTTCCATGTACACATGTGTGCACAAACTCACACATCATTTCTGAGGTTGTTAGAGACAGGGCCTTCACTTGTAGCTCCTTGCCTTTGAAATGCGTATGTATGTACTGGCATCGAATGGCAACCAACTTATGGCTACCCCAGCAAGGGTCTTTCAAGTCAAGGGAGAAGCAAATGTGGTTTGCCAGTGCCATCCTCTGCAGAGTCTTCCTTGGTGGTCTCCCATCCAAGACTTATGGTGACCCCAGCAAGGGTCTTTCAAGGCAAGTGAGAACTGGATGTGGTTTACCAGTGCCTTCATCTGCAGAGTCTTCCTTGGTGGTCTCCCATCCAAGACTTATGGTGACCCCAGCAAGGGTCTTTCAAGGCAAGTGAGAACTGGATGTGGTTTACCAGTGCCTTCATCTGCAGAGTCTTCCTTGGTGGTCTCCCATCCAAGACTTATGGTGACCCCAACAGGGGACTTTCAAGGCGAGTGAGAAGCAGAGGTGGTTTGCCAGTACATTCCTCTACAGAGTCTTCTTTGGTGGTCTCCCATCCAAGACTTATGGTGACCCCAGCACAGGGTTTTCAAGGCAAGTGAGAAGCAGAGGGGGTTGGCCATTGCCTTCCTCTGCAGAGTCTTCCTTGGTGGTCGCCCATCCAAGACTTATGGTGACCCCAGCACAGGGCTTTCAAGGCGTGAGAAGCAGAGGTGGTTGTCCATTGCCTTCCTCTGCAGAGTCTTCTTTGGTGGTCTCCCATCCAAGACTTATGGTGACCCCAGCACGGGGCTTTCAAGGCGTGAGAAGCAGAGGTGGTTTGCCATTGCCTTCCTTTACAGAGTCTTCTTTGGTGGTCTCCCATCCAAGACTTATGGTAACCCCAGCACAGGGTTTTCAAGGCAAGTGAGAAGCAGAGGGGGTTGGCCATTGCCTTCCTCTGCAGAGTCTTCCTTGGTGGTCACCCATCCAAGCACCAACCCTGCTTAGCTTCCAAGATCCGATGAAATCAGCCAATACCCTACCATTCCATGTCCTGCCTTTAGAATACTCCTGCCTATATCTGTTTGCCTAATGCTAAACGTTGATTTTTTCAGTGCCAGACTCCAGTTTTCCCAGGCATTTGCAGATGGTTGGTTTTCTTTCTTTCTCTTTTGCTTTTTTGTTTTTGATGTTGCCTCTATTTTTAACCAGTGCTGGCTTTCTGTTTTAAATGGGTAGAATGTTTTATACTGGAGCCTTTCTGTGCTCTTGGGTTGGATCCAGGGGTCATTTTCTGCCAATGGGAGGCATTTCTGCCCATGGGATGGAATTTCCCTCTCTTCTGTTCTCCAAAGAGCTGCCCCCTGGGGGGGGGACCGGAGACCATCAAGAACAGCTTTGGGGCCACAGTTAGGGAATCGCACTGGGAGAAGAGAATCGGTAAAAGTGGGAATAGCTCTTCTAGGGGTAGAAAATGACCTTTGGATTCAACCCAGCGTTTTATAGCTTTCGATGACAAGATTGGGAGAGAAATATTTGGATTAATGAACAAAGCACACGCTCCATCTCTGAGCAATGAGCCTTGCGGTGAACGATTACCGAGAGGTGACAGATGGATGAGTTAACGTTTTGTGACAGGAACCAAATACCAGTATCTGCATTTAGGTGGCAGATGGAAAGCTGGAATTCTTGCCCAGAAGATGTTATTGTGTTAGGCATTTGGTGTTAGTTAGAAGAGTGAACTTGACGCTGCAGTCAGCGAAACATGAAATGTCATAGAGTTTCCAAATTGGACTCCCGGGCTTGTTTGTTTGTTTGTAAGCAAAACTGAATTTTAAAAAAGCCATGGCGGATTGCAGATATTCAGCTTTAAAATTAAATTATTTTGTTGTATTGTGTTAAATAGTGGGTTCCATGGATGAGCAGGCTCGAGTCGAGAGATCAGCTCAACTTTATTAGTGATTTCGGCAAGCACAAGACAAGACTCCAGAGCCTCAGCTCTGTTAAATAGCAGGCAATTGCCACACCCAAACACACCCCACTCCCAGTGATAAGCTATTTACATAACATTACTACTTGATCGGTTACTTTCAGAATCCTGGTAGGCTATTGTTCTTGTGCTCCAAGCTCAGCCAGTCTCTGGGGTGATTCAGTTAGGGATGATTCAATCCCAATACATAGCATATTGTATTTTATCATGTGGTTGTAACCTGCCCTGAGCCTTGCGGTGCAGGGGAGGGAGGACTAGAAATCAAACAAATAAATAAATAAAATAGTGTATATGGAAAACATATAGATTTCGTTTACTGGCAGAGGACTTCTCTTTAAATATTTATTTATTCGAGTGTGCTGTGTTAAGTGCCATCACATTGCTTCCAACTCATAAGAACACTGGAAGAGCCCTGCTGGATCAGACCAGTGGTCTATCCTGTCTCACACAGTGACCAGGCAGTTCCTCTGCAGGGCTAACCACAAGGCATTAGAGGCCAAAGCCTTCATAAGAACACAAGAAGAGCCCTGCTGGATCAGACCAGTGGTCCATCTAGTCCAGCATCCTGTCTCACACAGTGGCCAGCCACGGGGGTCATTTCGTAGAAAAAGAGGTGTGGGAGCTCATTAGCATATATCATTAACATAACTTATTTGCATATGCCACACCCCCTGACATCACCGGAAGTGTGTCAGAAGGCGACACCCACCACTCAGGCTCCACTGGACTGTTTTGGATTGCTAGCTACTGGGGGGGGGATGACGTGCAGATCTGTCCTCGCAGAGGAGGGTGAGCTTGTACCTGAATAACCATGGAAAAGGGAAAGAAAAATGCAATCTTCTGAATCCTATCCCATAATTCTGGAAATCTCATTTGGTAGCCCCCTCTTCCCCATTTCATTTAAGTTTACAATAAATAAGGAATACCAGTGGGCAAAATTTCCACATGTGTAATGGCTACCGTGAGAAGTGTTTTCAATTGAAACAAGAAACTGACATATTAAAATATTGATTATCTGGATAAGTGCAATGTAACAGCATTTTCACAATATCTTCATTTCTGCATAAGGCTAAGCAGAGAAATGTGTTGCATAGTTGCTTATCTTTTGATATAGAGTTTGAAGTTGTCTATCTTCATTACACACACACACACACTCACATACATATATATATACACATACATACATATACATATATATACAAACATATGCTCCTGCAGAGTGCAGGGGGTCGGACTAGATGACCTGTAAGGTCCCTTCCAGCTCTAACATTCTATGATTCTATGATTCTATCATGTAGCACCATAACTCTAGAAATTAGGTGAATGGGTGTGACTTCCAGGATGGCCTAGAATCAAAAATTAACCATGAAACACCTCTTAGTAGTAGGCTTTTGGTTAAGGACAGCTGGCACCCTCTCCTCTCCCACCCCCCAACTCTGAGCTTCTGCTTCCTCCCCCCTGCCCAGAAGTGGCCAGACAGTCCAGCACTGGGATATAAATTCTAGAGACGCCATCTTGGGCTTTTAAAATCTGGTTTGTGACTTTTTATCATAATTCTGTTTGTGATTAGAATCCTTTGGGTTTTACATTGGTTTGCGGCTATATGCCTTTTGTCGTGTATTGCCCAGAGCCCTGCCTAGCTGTGATAGAGCAATTAGTAAATAAAATTAAATAATAATCAGCAGTCATTTCGTAAAAAAAGAGGTGCAGGAGCTCATTACCATAACTCATTAGCGTAACTTATTTGCATATGCCACACCTCCTGATATCACCAGAAGTGTGTCAGAAGGCAACACCCACTGCTCAGGCTCCACTGGACTGTTTTGGATTGCTAGCTATCGGGGGGGGTGCAGATCTGTCCTCGCAGGGGAGGGAGAGCTTGTACCTGAATAAAACTTGGTCTTAAAGGTGCCACTGGACTGTTTTGGACTGGGGGGTCGGGGGGGCTCTGCAACTTACCTGGCTGCTTCTTGCTCTAACTGAGGGCTGCTGGGAGCAGGGGGTGGGGCTTGTTGCATGTGCCCACTCCCTGGGCTCTTTACTGCCGGAGCTCCGCTCCCGTGCGCTCCTGCAGGAAATGACCCCTGATAATAATAGTGATGATGATGATGAATGTAAACTTCTGAATTCTGAACCTGTCTCTTCCTTGTATTTTACAAGCCCCGGCAAGATCCCACCAAATCATGAAGACCTCCAATAACAGCACTCTCTTCGAGGGTCTCTTCGACAAATTTGTACACCTCGACCAAGAACTGTTGGACACATTCTACACTCTGTGGATTGTCCTGCTGGTGGCCAACACCATTATTTTCCTGGTGGGTGTCGTGTTGAACTCTTTGGCCCTTTACGTCTTCTGCTTCCGCACCAAGACGAAGACCACCTCCGTCATCTACACCATCAACCTGATCGTCACCGACCTGCTGGTGGGCTTTTCCTTGCCCATCCGGATCATCATGCACTACGTGGCCGGGGACTGCAAGAGGTGTGCCCTCGTCCACATCTTCATCTACTTTGTGAACATGTACTGCAGCATCCTGTTCCTGACCTGCATCTGCATCGACCGCTACTTGGCTATCGTCCAGGTGGAGGCCTCCCGCAAGTGGAGGAACCCCAACCACGCCAAAAGCATCTGCGTCTTCATCTGGGTCTTCGCCACCGTGGTGACCTTCTCCATCCTCACCATGGCCGTCAAGTACTCCTACTGCTGCATCGCCAAGATCTTGCCCTTGATGGTCTGCGAGTACTTCTTCCCTCTGATCATCATCACCTTCTTCACCACCCGGATCATGTGCGCCCTCTCCAAGCCGACCCTCATGCACCAGAGCCGAGAGAGGCGGATGCGGGCCGTGCAGCTCCTCATCACCGTCCTCATCATCTTCATGATTTGCTTCACCCCTTTTCACGTCCGCCAGTTGGCCATCTCCATCAACCCGCAAATGCCCAACGACATCAGCCTGGTGGCCTACCACGTGACGGTCACCTTGAGCAGCCTCAACAGTTGCATGGACCCGATCGTCTACTGCTTCGTTACCAACAACTTCCAGTCGACCATGAAAAACATCTTCCGGAAGTCCGAACCGGAGCAGACCAGCGGAGACATCATCAGCGTGAACAAGGGCTCGGGTTCAAATGCCATTATGCCCTTCGCAAATGCTGTAGGCAACACTTTGGGTTTGCCTTTACCGAACCATACAGCAAACTCCTAGAGGGGGCAGGGTACCCAAGGACATTGTTGGGAATGCTGAGACTGGAGGGACTCTCCCCTTTCTCTAGAAGGATTTGAGAGCATCACATTTATTTTCGGCAAACTGGCAGCAGAACTCCTCGTTGTTCCCAGTGACACCATCGGTTTCTATACGGCAGCTGGTTTGTGTGTGTTTGGGGGAATCATATGCCATGTCTAACTAATTTAGGTAAAGGTAAAGGTTTCCCTTGCTCAAAAGCCAGTCGAGTCCGGCTCTAGGGTTGCGGTGCTCATCTCCGTTTCAAAGCCGAAGAGCCAGCGCTGTCCGAAGACATTTCCGTGGTCATGTGGCCGGCATGACTAAATACCAAGGCGCACGGAACGCTGTTACCTTCCCACCGAAGTGGTACCTATTTATCTACCTGCAATTTCTTGCTTTCGAACGGCTAGGTTGGCAGGAGCTGGAACTAGAGACGGGAGCTCACGCCGTCCTGCGGCACACTCGGGTCTCGAACTGCTGAACTACTGACCTTCCACAGCCTGCCGTTCAGCGTCTTAACCACTTGAGCCACCGCAGCAACTAATTTACAGCAGCCCAAATAGCCTAGATTGCCCCAAGCTCGTTAGAGCTTGGAAGCTAAGCAGGGCCTGCCATGGTTAGTACTTGGATGGGAGACCACCAAGGAACGCAAGGGTTGCTACTTAGAGGAAGGCAATGGCAAACCTCCTCTGCTCATCTCTTACCTTGAAACTCCCTCAAGGGGGTCACTATGAATCAGTTGCTACTTGACGGTACTCAGTAATCCCTGGTAACTAATCTACAGATTCCAGGACTGTATCCCAGAATGCAATCTGCCTTCATTCTCTCACCAGTGCCCTCAATTTGGGAAAAATAGAGTACAGGAAAGATGCTGCTGTGCTGTATACAGGTCTATCCGTATCTCCATGATCCTTTGGAGGACTGGCAATGTGCCTGTAGTCCTTCGTCCGCCTGTTCTACTGACGTTACAAGTGGAAGGAAATACAACCAAGGCCTTGTTTTCAGAGGACAATCGTTTTTTAAAATAAATAATCTGAAAGATACCTTGTCAGCTCAAGCGAATGCGAAAACTACAAGAGGGCAGTATCGTCAGCGAGATATCGGAAACACCCATTCACTAGAAATACTGAGGGAGAATTCATTTCCCGGTAACGTTATATGGTTGGCAAAACATAACTCAAGACTCCTTTGGAGCCCAGCTAAATGTCGCAATGGTGGGGAAACAAGAGCCTCAACAGGCCAATTTTTTTTTATGAAAAGCAACACTGGGGAGGAGACTATTTGCAGCAGAGAAGCAAGAGGGCAGGGGTCTCCGTCCCTACTCTCAGCTTTTCTGAGGCACAGTCTCTCCAAGCTGATTTTCCTACACAGTGTTCCAATGAAAATTTGCAATAATAGCTGTATTTATGGAATCTCAGGTGCAGGGGTCATTTCGTAGAAAAAGAGCTAAGGGGAACTGATTAGCATAACTCATTAGCATATGCCACACCCCCTGACATCACCGGAAGTGTGTCATAAGGCCACACACCCCGCCCCCAACGGCCGGCGGGAGTGCAAGGAAGCCCCGCGAAGGCCCTCCCTGGCCCCAGGCAGGCAGGGGTGGGGAGAGGCAGGGAGGAAGCAACTTCCCCTCCCTCTTCTCCTGTCTCCTCCTGGCTGAATGAGGGCCAGAAGCGGGACGGCCGGAAGCAGGGGGTGGGGCTTCGTCATGTGCCCTGCCCCCCGTCACCCGGGGGAACTGCGATCCCCCGCGATCCCCCCCGAAATGACCTCTGCTCAGGTGAGGGAAAGTTCTTGAGGGCAGGGAGAGTTGCAGAAGAAGAGGCATGGGATACTTAAATTACTCCCCGCATGACTTTTCCATGGAAACTTCTCCCTCCCCAGACTTTGCTTTCCATCAAAACGGAGGGCGCGAGGATCTTCTGATCCAGGCCAGCCGGGTCTTGTCAGATCTTGGAATCTAAGCAGGGTCGGCCCTGGCGAGTACTTGGATGGGAGACCACCAAGGAAGCCCAGGGTCTCTACGCAGAGGCAGGCGATGGCAAGCCACCTCTGAATGTCTCTTGCCTTCAGGGCTATTTTTGGGCAGGAACGCACAGGAACGGAGTTCCAGCTGGCTCCTGAGTTGGCCACGCCCAGCAGGGACTCATTAGCATAATAGGCCACACCCAACAGCAGGAACTCATTAGGAGTGGCTACATTAGGGGTGTGTGGCCTAACATGCAAAGAAGTTCCTGCTACAAAAAAAGCCCAGGGTTTTGACAACAAACAAAGTAAACAGAATAAGAAGCAAAAGGTGAGTGTTGCAACATGGGGGTGTGGGCCTAATATGCCAATGAGCTGTGATGTCAGGGGTGTGGTTTAATATGCTAATGAGATCCTGCTCTTGGGGGTAGCCTATTATGCTAATGAGTTCCTGCTGGGCTTTTTCTACAAAAAAAGCCCTGGATAAGCACTACCGGGTTGCCCTAAGTTACTTTGACTTGTTGGTAACTTTCCATCACCAGCGGGATTTCCTGACCTAGGATTGAGTCATTTGGTTCATACTCCAACAACACCAGCAGGTCTGTTAATTGCTACGGACGACCCAACAAACATAGCGTTTTTGCCTTTAATACAGGTATTTCACTCATAACAAAGGCCTGGTGCTTGTTCTTTCTTTGTACCATTGCGAAGTGTTTAATGTCATTTTTCGGGATTTTAAACCAAGGTCGCCATCTGAGTCATTTGGTTCATACTCTAACAACACCAGCAGGTCTGTTAATTGCTCCAGACGACCCAACAAACGTAACGTTTTTGCCTTTAATACAGGTATTTCACTCATAACAAAGGCCTGGTGCTTGTTCTTTCTTTGTACCATTGCGAAGTGTTTAATGTCATTTTTCGGGATTTTAAACCAAGGTCGCCATACTGCCAAAATATTCAGGCTGATGAGACAATACGGTCTGTCGCGGCGGGGTTTACGCGCACATGAACAGAAGATAAACAAAGGAGACCACCCACTGAAACACCGGGGGGGGGAGAGAGAGACCAGCGGTACAAAATAGGGCTGCCAACCTCCAGATGGTGCCCGGAGTTCCCCTGCTATTACAATTGATCTCCAGAGATCAATTCCATGGGAGAAAATGGCTATTTTGGAGGGTGGACTCTATGGCTTTATACCCTGCTAAGGAGAAATGAAATCAACTGAGAGAGACAACCAGACCAGGCATTGTGAAATGAACAGATGAACGTTGTTGCAATTCGTGCCAAATTTTGTCCAAAGGGGGAGGTCTTCTTGGCACGGCTGAAAAAAGTTACTGGGGGGAAAGGTAGATTCAAGTCCAGTAGCACTTTAGCTCAGATCTTGAAAGCTAATCTCCTCAAAATCTTGTTGGTCTCTGAGGCGGAGAACAACACAGCTACTTCAGTTATCTTCTGAAACTGAACAACGCAGGTCAGCCATCTTCGACGCCTGCCAAATTCCCTGGTTCATTTCATACTGCAAAGCTTCCTCAGAAGTGATTTAGGAGAAGTCAAGAGAAAAGCAAGAATTCAGATTCCCGTTGAACTCGGCAAGACTTAGGCTCGGAAGTGATGTGGGAGGACTTGCCCTTTTGTCTAATTTGGTGGGCCACTTTGAGGTAGTGGTTAAGGGCAGTGGACTCTAATCTGGGAGAACCGGGTTTGGTTCCCCACTCCTCCACTTGCAGCTGCTGGATGACCTTGGGCAAGCCATAGTTCTGCCAGAGCAGTTCTTTCAAGAGCAGAGCTTGAGAGAGCTCTCTCAGCCCCACCCACCTCACACAGGGTGTCTGTTGTGGGGAGGGGAAGGGAAGGGAGTTCGTAAGCCGCTCTGAGACTCCTTTGTGAGCAAGCAATTCGACTACTGCATAAAATACTTTGCTCTAGAGCCATCCTTCCTGAGCCAAGACAAAAATCTGTGAGCTGGAGGCTAAAAAACTCAGCTTAGAGGGAACACTGCTTTGGGTAGTGAAGGACGGCATATAAATCCAACATTTTCTTCTTCTTCTTCTAATTTGCCTCTATGCTGCTGCTAGAACCTTTGGGTCAAGCAATATCATGTTCCCACACTTTAACTTCCCATCCTAGTTGGGGAGGGAGGGACCTCAGTTGGACATCATGCCATGCAGTCTCCCCCCTCCAAAGAAGCCATTTCTCCAGGGGAGCTGATCTCTGTCATCGAGAGATCAGCTGAAACTCTGGGAGATACCCAAGCTCTCCTGGAGCTAAGCAAACCTAATATGGCCCTACCTACAAATGCTGCAACCTAACCTAGTGTGAAAGGCTAGTTGTGATTCTGGGCATGCAGGGGGGGGGGGGAACGGTATTATCTACTAATGTTCGTAGGCCTGGTGGCTGTATTTGACAGAGGAGCAAACACTACAATAAAAGTTGGCAACCAAACAAAAAATGATTCGTGGAAAGCATTGGATGTACCTGGGTAACCCAGCTCATAAGAAGAGGCAGCGGCCTTGTCTATCACCCATCACAATGTTAGACATGAGGAAGACGGAGGTAAACATTTGCCACTGGTGTTTAGATTATGCTCCATTAATAGCAGGACATTAAACAACCGGCGGCCTCCACAGATGGCCTGCCTTTCTCGTCATTCTCGCAATGGAAGGCAACTTGTTGATGGTCCAGGGGACGATAGACTTCTAGTGTCCTGGCCCCACTGCTGGACCTCCTGATGGCACCTGGTATGTTTGGCCACCGTGTGACAGAGTGTTGGACTGGATGGGCCTTTGGCCTGATCCAACATTGGCTTCTCTTACGTTCTTATGTAGACTACCGTGAAGGTTTTCAAGACATGAAATTAATCAGAGGGGATTTGCTCTCCTCCCTTTGTTCCTGAGGGGGTCCTCTGTGGGAAGGGAGACAGGAGGTGAATAGTCTGCATAGGAGTTAGGAGACAGTTACAAGAGAGAAAGTCCCTCGTTCAACTCTCACCTCTGCTATGAACTATCAGCACTCTCAGTCACATGCAGATAATCTTAACAAGTGCTCATTTTTGGGAAGGGCCCTCCCATATGCCCTTGCTTCTCTGTCCAGCCGGTGAGATAACAGGAAGTGGAAATGATGTCGGGTGATGTGCTGACATCATGTCCCAGCAATAACCCAGATGTGGAGTCAGATGGCAGCCGACGCTCCAGAAACTCTATGGTGATACCGTAGAGTTTCTAGAGCAATGGTCAATGCGCTGACATCACAACGTGGTTTTTCTCCTGAAAGT